TTAGATTGGTTATCTCATTACAAAGGCAGTTTCCCCTCTCTTGGTATTCACACCACTTCATCAGCTACTGTGAGTGAGCCACATCCACCTTGATTTAATTGGCCTCATTAACACTGGCCCTACACTTGATAAGTAACTTCCTTCTTTTCATATATAAATGCATCTATAATTTCCACTCCAAATTATCTGATGAAGTGGGTTTTGCCCACAAAAGCTTATACCCTGATAAATCTGTTAGTCTCTAAAGTGCCACAGGACTCCTTGGGGTTTTTTTAATGCATGTATTGGTGTCTCTGAGCTCAGTGAGGCATTGGGGTGAGCGGGAGGGCAATGCATACTTTTAATACCCAATCTGACTTGAAAGTAGACAGTTCTTTTCCAATGACAAGAAAGTTGCCTGAGGAATCATATAAAATAATGAACATTCTAAAGAACTTGTTGGGAAGGCCAAAGAGTTTCAAGATCAAACAAAAGTGTTTCCCTGTCAACAGTAAGACATAGGCTTGGTACCCACAAATGTGATGTGACTGGAACATTTGAATTCTTGTAAATTCTCAATATCCAGGCAAACACTGAAAATTAGCTCCATCATAAAACACCCAGGAGTGAAGCCATCTTGTTGTGGTCTTCTGTTGTTCCGTAAAGTATCAGTGGCTTGGGCCAACAAGACAGAAGCAAAACCTTCTCTGAGATGGATAGAAAAATAATGCTGCTTTTATGTTTATTTTTTAATAAGTCTCGGTAATTAGACTTTTTTTTTTTTTTTTGAGTCTTATCCTTGATCAAAGGAAGGAAAGCTCTGAGGAGAAGGGGAGAAAAGCCCTTAGGAAAGCACTTGAGGAGTGAGGATAGTCCCAATAAGCTGAGAGAAGGAGGTCTGAAATACCCAGGAAGTGGATAAAGAAAGGGAGAGGAAAGATGCAGAAGGAGGTCAGGATGAAAAAATATGTTATAAACTATATTTAAAAAATTATAATCTTTGACTTTTCAGCTCTTTGGTTTATTTGATCCCTTGTTTTGTTGAATGTTGTGATGCAAAAAGATTGTGTACAAAAAGATTTCTGACCTCTGCAGTATTGGGAATCAACCTTGCTGACATATGACTATTTTAGCCAACAACATCAAATATTTAAAGACCATTTTCCAGTTCTCATTAGAAAGACTAGAACAGAAACAATACCAAAAAAGAGAATAATGGTATTTTTACGCTTGTCACTGCATGTTGTCCCAACCTCATTTAGTGTGTTTATGTTGTTGTTCTTTCCTCAGGAATTTTACCATCACAATTAAGAGTCAGTGCAAACGAAATATCCATATTGTTCTCTTATGTTGTTGGCCTTCCTTATGCCCACAACAACTCTTCTGTGGCACAGATTTGGAGGGTAGAATACAGCCTTCTGTATACCTGTTACCTCACACGAACAGCTTACTCTGCCTCCCCACAATATGAGTTTCATTTGTTTTTGAAGCACTAGCCAATTTTGGCTAAAGAATTAATAATTCAGTACCTCAGTACAGTTCAGTCTAACAAAAAACATTATTTTTCAACATATTACATGATTGAGAGAGAGTACGGAAATCAAAAGAATATTAAATTCATACATATCTTAATAATAACTAAGTATTTGAGATTGGCTCTGAAATTACAACTTTAAATTACAGAATTAGTTTGGTCAGACTGTGTTTGAAATGTGGTCATCATGCTCCCATGACCCCTCTTTTCTCTTTTAGCAGCAATACCTTTTTTCTCAGAATGTCTCTCTCCTACTTAACTATCTACTTTAATAAGCTCCTTAGTTCTTAAACAGAATTGCCAATGTACACTTAGCACTTGCTTATGTCTTGGAGGTGAAGGGAGTTGTGTGGCAATTATTTTGCTTATACACTTTCAGGTCATTTTATTAAAATTAGGATAGAGCACATAGTAAGTATCTAATTAATCAACTTTCCTTATGTTGGTTTATGCTAAGATGTTTATTCCTGATTACTTAATTTTTCAGAATTACATCAGTCTCTGTTTCCAACTTTTTACATACATAGCACTAGAGGCCTTTGTGTTTTGCAAATGATTCCAGGTCTTGTTTTCCAAAGACCCTCATGAACATAGGTTTAAAGTAGACAGATGTATAATAAAAATTACTAGTATTAATAAGTCATGAAGAAAAATATATTGGGTAAAATTAAAATAAGATACCTGTGTTATTCCATGTAGTATATGCAAATATTTGGCTTGAGAGGAAAAAGTTGCTCTGTAATCTCAATCTTTTTTCTGAACAATAGAATCGAATGCACATAAATCTTTGTGATACATAGAAAATTATTAAATCAACATTCTGTAAACTAATGACTGCTAAATAATAATTGACAGAATATTCCTTAGTGATGTTCAGTTAGTGAACAAGTTGCTTATCCAAGAAAGTCAACTTAAAAATGGGTTTACAAGCAAATGATAATTATTTATTATATCTGTATTTGACATTTATTTTGAGTATATTCTAACTGGGATTGCCTTGTTAGTACCTTTTTTTAAATTTTGTTATCATGTCTGGCTACTAGTCTTTCCAAAGTAAACAGCTTACTTGTTTCTTTTAGTTTTTATATGCCCAGCTGCTGCTGTAAGGAACTAAAATCCTTCTAGTTACTACAATTGTTTTTCTTTTTCTGTAACTAATATTAAAATATCAAAGGTATTAGAAGCTTTTAAGTTAGCAAGAACTCCTTTCCTCAAAGTACTTTTTTTAAAGTCATTAAGCCTTCTAAGGTGAAGTAATTTGAATAGGAATGCATCAGTCATCACTTGAGTGATTCAGAAGCCGATGGATGTTTCTGTTTTGTGTGCAATCTAGAGCTGAGGACATGGCAAATTACAAACAGGCTACTGAGTTGTAGAAGGCAGATACTGTGGTTGCTTCCTAAAGGTCAAAGTAGAAAGCAGTCCTAAGAGACTGCAAAAGCATAATACCAGACAGTCACTCAGCCAACACCCTTGACCCATGGACTTCACAATCTCCCTTTTTAAATTGTTTCTGAAACATAGAAGGACATATTTACAGCTTTTATTTTTCATTAGTGCAAGTAATTACATTATAGACCTGCTCCTGCTTCCAATTAATTAATGACAGAACTCCCATTGATTTCAGGTCTCAGATGCCCAAATACAGAGTAAACTTTAACCTTGAACAGAGAGTTTTCATAAGTCCCTTTTAAGGGACACAGCCATTTTAAGGACATAAGTGGGTGCTTAGACTCTGTGCTGCCCTCTGCAAAGAAATGCTTATTGCTTTGTGTTACATTATTAACTTTGCACAGCCCTGAATCATCTATATAAATTTGAATAGCTAGCTCCTCGGAGTAAATTGATGTAACTCTATTGACTTAAAAAGAACTGTATCAGTTTTCATTAGCTGAGGATATTGGCTCACAGAATCTGCATGGAATAAGAGTATGTATGTTCTATGATGAAAGACCAAGGGCTTGTCTATACACTGCATTAGTGTGCACCAGCAAGACATACTTGTGTACACTACATTCTAGTGTACACAAGTGTGTCATGTACAAACTTTCTGTGTGGACTCTGCTTGTACACACTATAAATTCCTTCATGTATGTTTGTGTGTAATCCTGCTTCAAACAATAATATGTCAGTGTGATTTGAGGAGTGCCATGGCACCTTAAAATTAACAGATTAATTTGGGCATAAGCTTTCATGGATCAAAACCACTTCAAAGTGATTTTGACCCACAAAAGCTTATGCCCAAATAAAGCTGTTAGTATTTAAGGTGGCACAGGACTCCTCGTTGTTTTTACAGATAGAGACTAACACAGCTACCCCTCTGAGACGAGTGTGATATGAGTGTTTGTAAGCAAGGTCCATACTGAGCATTAGCACACAGCATGCTCATGTGCACTAGAATTTTCACTCCTACAGTACATAGTGATTCATGAGGTAGTCAAGCCCTATGTTATGGTTTAACCTAACCAGAAGAAAGCATTCTACTCCAGAATAAGATTGTCTACACAGGGACTGATACTGCTTTAACTATTGAATTATAGTAGTATGATTACGCCCGCAAAAGCCCCTTGTCACCACTTTGATTCAAATAAGATGTTCTTCATTTCTAAGCAACATATTTAGATGCTGATACTTTTGATATATTTATGAGCACAAATGAGCCTCTTTCCCAAAAATGGGTTGATTTGGAGAGGGACGAAAGGGTTTGTTTTCATGAATCTTTGCTTACAGTTTTAAAAAAATGTCCTGCATCTGAATTACCTACTAAACATAGAGGGTATATCTACACTTGCAGCCTAATTCCAACTAAGGCTGCAAATGTAGGCATTCAGAATTGCAAATCAAGCCCGGGTTTACATATCCCGTGCTTGATTTGCATGTTCCCAGCTGGTCGCCATTTTTGAAACTTACAAGCCCGAACTAACTGCCCATGTCTACACGCGGCAGGGAAATGGGCGTTTGAAATAAAGCCTTATTCCGAACTACCTGTTATTCCTCCTGCAATGAGGTTTGGGAACATGCAAATCAAGCACGGGATATTTAAATCCCGGGCTTGATTTGCATTCCGAATGCCTACATTTGCAGCCTTAGTTTGAATTAGGCTGTAAGTGTAGACATACTCAGATTTCCAGAGCTATTTGCAAAGCAGCAATGGAACGCTCTTATTTCCTTTGCTCTGCCCTGTAGTGTGCAGGGACTCTTCGTAACAAGTGGTGTGCTAGATCTTTACCATTAAAGAACATACATTATTTGTAGTATACAGTATGGACATTTATTTTGGTAATATAGTCATGCCTACTATTCCATTATTCTTTGTGAAGTCAGCAATTCTGATAAACAGGTGAGTTTTATACAGATTTCAGTGAAAATATCTGCTTGGCATTTTTAAGTTTTATGGATAAAAACATTTCCCAAAATTGGAACTCATATTCTAGTGCAAACCTTCTTTTGGCATTCTGAATTGAAGGAATGGTTGTTTTCTCTCCAGCTACTCCACATATGCATTGAAGGTTGGGGAAACTGGCGCTGGTCTGAGCCATTCAGCGTGGACAATGCAGGAATCTTTATCAGAACCATTCAGTACAAAGGCAGGACAGCATCACTTATCATCAAGATTCAACAGCTCAGTGGAGTGCAAAAACAAGTAAGTGCCTTGCTTCCAGTATTGGGGAGGGAATCATTTTTAATCTGAGTCAATTAGATAATGCTTTATTACATAAATAGTGAAGAATCTATTTAAAATTATAATATTTCCCTGTAATTGTAGTGTTGCTCACTAGTGCCATTATATTTAATGAGTCTAGCAGGACTTACATTATAGAAATTCTTTCAGGAGTTAATACTACTCCACGGCAAGAATTCACTCTGGTATGGATCTTGGCACACAAAATCTTAGTCCTCAGCAAATTTTTTACACATTTTGTAAAACATCCTTTTGCCTGGTTTATAATTTCTAACTGTAAAAACATTATACAGTTTCTGGCACATTTTTGTACTCTTGAAAAGCATTCTTAGAAGACTTTTTAATGTTTTTAGTCTGTAGTAGACGCTTTTGCTATTGAAAAAAAGAAATGACTGAATTTAAATTTCAACGGGTATGTTGCTTTTTTAAGGACAGGGAGCAAAAGTGTAACTGGCTATGGCAGCTTCATACCAAGTCAGCATGAATCAGCACCCACCTCCCCTGTTCAGGTAACTGAAAGAGATCCATGCCAGTGCAGAAAAAAAGCCCTCTTTTACCTGGATCAGGCAGAGAAGTACCTATCCTCCCACCCACAAGAATAGTTAAAATACCAGGTTTAGTCATGATACATTGTGGGTACTACATTAGTCACGCCTTTCTCTGTGGACTGGAAACAATTTTTTTTTCTCATCACCAAATTGGCCATGGTGAGGTGGGATTTTTTTGCCTTCCTCACAGCAGGTTGGGGACTTAGTGGGGACAAACAATAAAATGGGAGTTAAGCTATGATGTCGTAACATTTTAGGTAAGTGTGGCATGGATGTCCAGTGCAGGTACTCTGTGGGGGAAGGATACAGTCATCAGATAAAATAGATTGGTAAAGAATTTAGAGGAAATGTTCTTTAAAGGAGCAGAAGGAGGAAGAATTCAGGGTGTCTATGATTGGTAAAGCCAGCAAATAACCCCATGACTGGGCTCTGGATGAGTAAAGGGGGAGGGCTGACAGCAGCCCTCCATCCCCCACATGAATATATAAATTAGTATGGAGTTACCTGCTTACTAGTAACTCTCTCTAGTTTTATGTGCCAGGTATTCCCAATCATTAGGGATAATGTTGCAGTCTAATTATATCACATCCATTGACTCTGTCCTCCTCTTGGCATAGCCAAACAATGGGTTACTATGAAGATATTTTCCTATAACATGTTAACATATCTGTAATAATGTTGTCATAGTTCTGTCCCAATTGGCAGAAGCCAGGGCACATGGTGGACATAACGTTCAGTACATAGACATAGGAGAACACTTTGCATCGTCCAATAGTGATCCAGACAGAAGTAACTCTCAACCTGTTTGGCCGATTTCTAAGTAGGCATGTTGAATATACATAGTGTGGAGGGCCTCAAAGCTGTTTGAGAGCTTTTTTTAATGTTAATATTCACATGGAGTTTTAATTGAAGGGCAAGCTTTAAATCTGTAAACATACTTCAGAGACTTGCTCCTTTGAGAAAATGAACCTTAGATGCTGACCAGGATTTGGGGTTTCAGTGGAACCTTTCAAAAGCCCTTTTGGCTGCAACTCAAAATCTCCATAGCAATGACACCGCATGCCAAGAGAATTGCAACATATCAGCACATCAGGGGAAGGCAAAGACAGAGCTTCAGCCGCAGAGCACAATCCTACGAAGTGAGTTCAGTAGGCATTAAGGGCACTAACACCAGACAGGTCCTTATCTGATTTTTTGCATAATATCCATTTACATGAAAGCCATACATTTTAGCATAATTTGGAGTGTCTTAATAATTATGGCTCTCTAGAATTATCAATGCATTTGGACAATCATAAGAATAATTTTATTTATAAAATAACACATTGCTGGAGTATCTAACGTGCTCAGTGTACACATGCCATTTTCAGCAACTCTCAGAAACCAAACATTGCTTGAGGTTTTTTTTCCCTGTAGATTGAACTTATAAAATCAGTCGAGCAATTTAAGAACAATGCAGTTTTAAGGATGTGAGGAATCTAATTTAATTTCAGTGACACTCTCTGAGTTTTCTTTGTGGAAATTGGTAATGCAAAAGTTTTCTGTTTTATGTTTTAGATAATAATCTGTGGAAGACAGATGGTCTGTAGTTATCTGGCTGACAGCATCGAATTGAAAGTGGTTCAGCACTACATTGGCCAAGACGGGCAGGCAGTTATTAAAGAACATTTTGACTGCCTTGCAGCCAAACAGAAGCTGCCTTCCTATGTCCTAGAAGATGATGAGCTGACGGAATTGAGTGTGAAAGCTAAAGGAGATGAAGATTGGTCAAGAGATGTATGTCTCAGTTCCAAAAACACAGAATATAGCACAGTCATTCAGGTACGGAAATAAATAGATGTTTGAGTATGACATATAAAATTTTCCATGAGAGTTTGGCACCTAAAACTCCCAGGCAAATTCTAAACTAGAGTACCTGTTGGCAACCTCTCAGCCTTTCATCAATATATACTCAAGAAATGACACTTACTTCTAGTCCAAACTACCATTTCCCCTTTCATCAGTAGCAGATATCTGATAGAGGAGCTTCTGACTTCATCCTTAATTATATTATTCCTACTACACTCCATTAGAGCAAAAATATAGGGTTTAATGTACCTTAAATGTGTCACATGTTTAGAATCCTACGTAAATTTTAAAAACAGAGAGAGCAGTGTCACTCTAAGTGGTGAAGTGTTCTTGTCTCTACCTTCTAGCTTACAGTATCTCAGTGTTGTAACTGATGTGATCAAATGTTAAACTTTATAAACTAGAAATAATCTTACTTAATGGTGTCTATTCATCTCTCTGTGTGCAGGTACCATCTTCAAACAGTTCAATTATTTACGTGTGGTGCACAATTTTGACATTAGAACCCAGCACTCAAGTACAACAACGAATAGTGAGTGCATTTGCCATTCTCAGAATTCTGTATAGCTCTGTGACCTTTCATGTTCTGAAATAAATTAAGGTCAAAATGACCCAGAGTGAAGATTTATTAACAGCTTTTTTCAGCATCTGGAATAGAATTAACATTAAGTTGATGTGTTGTTTTTGGTGGTTGATTTTTTTCTTTGTAGATTGTTTTCAGCCCTCTTTTTATCATGAGGAGTCATCTTCCAGATCCAATTATCATACATTTGGAGAAAAGAAGTCTGGGATTGCGTGAAACACAAATGATTCCAGGAAAAGGGCAGGAGAAATCATTGCAAAATATAGAGCCTGATCTTACCCATCACTTAACATTTCAAGCTAGGTATAACTTGTGCATTTTTCTGAAAGTGTGTACAACATAAAAGGAGTAATTATTTACCTTTAACTTTCAGTACACTACTTCTAAGAATATTCTGTTACATTGTATGTATAGAGAAGATAATTACATGGACTGCTGAAAATGCTATGATGGAGTATTGCAAACAGCAATTACTCTTAGTGCACCGATACCTGTTTATGCTGAGTGAAGTATGTAAATTTTGGCATTTTGAAAAAAAAGTACCACCTCTTGTGATGCCAAATTCTACCAAGTTTGGAGTGTCAGTTTCTATATGTCTGGTGAATTCTGATTTCATATCAGATCATTCAAGTTTCAGAGTGCACTCATAATGCTGCACTAAAGAAAACAGCCATTGTTTAGACAACCTACTGCTGCAATTGATTTCTGTTTCTGTTTTCATTTGACAGGGAAGAGGATGATCCTTCAGAATGTGCAGTTCCTATCTCAACAGCACTTATTAAACAGATAGCTACTAAATCCCATGCAAGTGGCACTGTGAATCAGATACTGTCTGAGTTTTATGGGATTAATAGCTCTCCTCAGCCTGTGTGGCCATATAATAGAAAGGATTCGGAGAGGTAATGAAGGCTTTGTTAAGTGTTACCAACTGACATTGCATTGTCATGAAATTAAAGAAATGCATATGCAAATAAAGCAATATTTTGAAAGGCTCTTCTTTTTTTGATGGTAGTAAAGGACTTAAAAGCCCTTACTTTTGTTCATGCTTTTGTAACTGGCTGATACAGTTCATAAATATTTTCCATAGTAAAAAGCTTCATAAATCATTGCAAATAACCTGATAAATGTTTTACCAATTTTTTACCAAAATATCTTATCTCAATGAACTTGTCTGGATGTGCTATACACCATTAAAAAGAGCTTAGATGTGATTAGTTAGCAGAAGTAGCTTTGTGGGTTTTTATATTTTTGTTTTTTATGGAGGTTTTTTTTAAGCTGACCAACCAATGAGCAAACAGCACAACTGACACATGTGGATTTATGATCAGAAAGATAATTTGTTCATTAGCTTAGCTTTCCTCAAATGCAAGTGGTATTTAGTCAGTGGATCATTGTACTAATTTCATGTACAGGCAGTCCCCGGGTTACGTACAAGATAGGGACTGTAGGTTTGTTCTTAAGTTGAATCTGTATGTAAGTCGGAACTGGCGTCCAGATTCAGCCGCTGCTGAAACTGATCAGTTTCAACAGCGGCTGAAT